GGTCTCTCCTGCCCGGGCTGGCTTTGAACCGCGATCCTCAGATCTCAGCCTCCTGAGTAGCTAGGATTACAGGCGTGAGCCACCAGCGCCCGGCTGGGCTCCCTTTCTTATACTTTCTTTCCTACCTGCTTTCTTTAAGTCTCACCCCTTTGTCCCTAGGTTGTGTGACTCTCCTAACTTCCAGTGGTCCATAAAGCCCAGACTCACCTTTGCTCTCAATGTCGTGTAGTCGCTCTTGCCAGAAGCCCCGGAAAGGGGCAATGCCAGTGCCTGGGCCAACCAGAATGCAGGGCAAGCTGGGATCAGGTGGCAGCCGGAAGGAGGGAGCCCTAGCCAGAGAGACTCCATTAGGTCCCTTCCTGTCCCTTATGTCTTCATATTTGGGGAGGGGACAGTACTGAGGCTTGAACTCACAAGGCCATACTCTCTCCTTGCTCAAGGCAAGGTGCCACTCTACCTCCATTTTTGTCTTTTTGCTGGTTCGTTGGGGATAAGCGTCTCATGGACTTTTAGGCTCTGGCTTGCTTTGAACTCAGATCTCAGCCTCTCAAGTTGTTGGTGTTACAGGTGTGAACCACCAGCACTTAGCACCATGTCTTTTAATAAAGGCCTTGCTTTCACAGAACCACTGGCCTGTTCTGTGTTGTGTCTCTGGGAATTGGAGTTTCAGGGCAGGATCCTGAGTTCAAGTGAGTCCCAAAGCTCAGCCATGTGTTTTTTTCTTTTTGCCAGTCGAGCTTGAACTTGGGGTCTGGGCTCTGTCCCCAAGCCTCTTTGTGCTCAAGGCTAGTGCTCTACCACTTGAGTCACAGCAAAACTTCCAGATTTTTCTTACTTTATTGAAGATAGGCTGGCTTTGATCTGTGATCCTCAGATCTCAGCCTCCTGAGTCACTAGGATTACAGGTGTGAGCCATGGCTGGCCACAGCTATGGTTTTGGAGTGACCTATTGATCTGATAGCCTTGCTGTTCTGCAGGTCCTCCTTGCTCGCTCCCAGTGGTGTTATTCATAGCTACCACCTGACCCTGTGGGAACCCCTCCTCCCCACAGATTCCTCACCTGTCCTCCCCCTGTCCTCTCCCCACCGGGACATGGATATTCTCCTGACGTTCCATCCTGCCTAGCTCACTTACCCCCTGATGAAGCAGGGCACGAGGTCTCCAGCCTTGAGTTGGCTCAGCCACGTGGAGCAGACCCCATAGTGCAGGGGGCCCAGTCCATCTAGGGGATGGGGAGGAGAGGCCAATGAGGGGCTGACTTGGGCCTGCTGAGGCCTAGGCCTGTACTGCTCCCGGTCTTACCCTGGGTCCTATAGGCCAGCACAGCGACGGTCAGGTGGATCTCTCCCGGATGAGTGCTCGGTGCTGAGCTGACAGAGTAGTACCGGGGCTGGAGCAGGGGCAGCTGGGTGAGGAGCAGGGGAGCAGGCAGCGCCACTGACGGGAACTGCTCCAGCACCTCCAGCAGCGTGGGACAGCGGAACCACTTCCACTCTTCGTAGCGCCGGGGATCCTGGTAGGGTGGAGTGCGGTCAGCTGGGAGCCCCATCCCCTGCCTACTGATCTCCCTTCTTGACCTCTTTCCAGGAGAGCCTCTTTAAGATTCCTCCCTGCTCAGTTCAGGCCAATCAACACCTTGTTAAGACCTCACAGGGCTCGGTGTTGGTGGCTCATGCTTGTAATCCTAGCTTCTCTGGAGGCTGAGACCTAAGGATTGTACCAACAACACACACAAAAACAGAGGCCTTGCGCATCCAAAGACAAATGGGTCAGCATAGAGCTGGTTTTAAAGCACCACTAAATAAATACTGGCCAGGATGCGAAAGTCTAGGGAGACCTCCCCTGAGGACTCCTGTCAATTCCTCTTCCCCGCCTTGCCCCTGCTCCCTGCTGGGCCACCCTTACCTCGCTGAGGGCCTCTAGCTCCTGTTGTTCACTGGATTCTTCAGCCAGGGTGCTGAGCAGTCGCAGGAGGCGAGGGCTGGGTGG